CCACTCACCTCAGCCTCCCAAAGGCGTAGGATTACAGGCTGAGCCACCGAGCCCGGCTGGAGGCAAGTCTTAGTATGTTGCCTAGGCTGGTCTCAAACTCCTAGGCTCAAGCCATCCTCTCACCTCAACTTCCCAGAGTGCTGGGAATATGGGCATGAACTACCACGCCCAGCCTAGAACGAGAATTTATAACCTGCCTTACCCTAAGCCTCTCCTACCTGAGTGTTTACCAGAATGCAGCTCTGGTTGGGCTACTTCCTTGCTTAAAACCACGTAGTGGCTTCCAGTTCACTAAGAGTAACACCCCCCACACGTACACACACACACACACACACAAGAATAACACCCCCTGCACGTACACACACACACACACAATAACAACACCCCCTGCACGTACACACACACACACACGCACACACACACACACACACACACACACACACACACACACACACACACACACACACACACGAGCCTTCCCTGGCCTCATCTCTCCTCCCTCCCTGCCCCACCTCCTTGATTCAGTTGTGCCAGATTCTCTTGCTGGGGCCTTGCCGGCCTCTTGGCTTGGGCATTGTTTCCTCAGGGGAACCTCCCCTGGTCCCTTCCCTAAACTACTTGGGTGCCTCAGCCGCGTGCACCCCACTGCCTGGGAAATCCCCTCCAAGAGCCCTGGTCTCCTCCATTACTTCACCTTATGTGTCTGGCTCCTCTGTTAGATGTTAAGCTCCATGAGGCAGACGCTCCTTTTTTCTTTTGTCCTTATATTTCCAGCATCTAATAGAGGTTCATTCAGTTTCTGTTGATAAATGAACGGGATTAGACGGGTCACGCAGTTAGAAAGCACACAGACCCACCTGCCTGTCGGGGTGTAGATGCCAGCCTTCTCTCTCCTGCCTGCCCACAGCCCAACAGTCCTTCTGCTGGGAGGACATGAGTCTTGATGCCAGGGCTGCCAGAGCCCTGGATGCAGAAAGCCAGTGCATGGAAGGGAAATGGTTTTTGTTTTCTCAGCAAGAATTATGCTCTCAACAACTTTCTAGTCCAGTAAGCATAGAATAAACCATAACTGCTTGACTTCAGAGTTCGGTTTGCAACCTGGAAGATAATCATGGTATTTGGTGCACACTTTGTCTCTTTTTTTTGAGCCGAGGTCTCACTCTGTCACCCAGGCTAGAGTGTAGTAGCACCATCATGTCTCACTGTAGTCTGGACCTCCCGGGCTCAGGCAATCCTTCCACCTCAGCCTCCCAAGTAACTAGGTTTACAGGTGTGCACTACCATGCCCAGCTAATTTTTGGAATTTTTTTTTTTTGTAGAGACAAGGTCTTACTATATTGCCTAGACAAGTCTTGAACTCCTGGGCTCAAACGATCCTCCCACCTCAGCCTCCCAAAGTGCTGGGATTACAAGCGTGAGCCACTGCACCTAGCCTGGAACACACATTTTTTTGGAGCCAGAGGCCTGGAAATCTGAACACATGTGATCTTGTGTTTCACAGATACGTTTTGAGAGCTCTAGAACATGCACTGGAGAAGTCTAGTGGGGTGGCCATCCTGTCCAGTGCCCTCCAGCCTGTCGATGCCCGCCTGCAAAGCCCCAGGAGATTAGGGCCGTTGGAGCAACACCATGTGCTTCCCTTTCTCTTACAGACGACCATGCGGGACCTGTCCCAGATGCTGAAGAAGATGCCACAGTACCAGAAAGAGCTTAGCAAGGTATGGTGGCCTCAAGTAATCCATTCGAATCGTGAGTGTCAACAGCTGCAGAAAGCCTTCGCCAAGCCCTGCTGTCTCATTCACAGATTTCTTGTTATCTTCAAGTACTAGAAACAAAATGAAAGGCTGGGATGGGCAGCTGAGTTCCTGTCACTTTCTTTTCTTCCCTTCATCTTTCCTTTCCTTTATCCTTCCTGTTCCCTGCTGTTGGCAGGAGGCCTCAGCTCTTCGTCACAGGCTCTCCAGGGCTGCTTGAGTCTGCTCGTGACAGGCCACCGGCTCCCCAGAGTGTGCTGAGAGGGAGCTAGGGGAAGGCTCAGTGCCTTTTCTGTCCCAGCCGTAGGCGCTACTCATCGCTGACTCGGCTGGTCGGAGCTGGCTGTGAGTCCAGCCCACACTCGAGAGGTGCAGCAAGCACCTCTCTCAAGGGAAGGTTTCTCCGTCCTCTGAACTCTGGTTTTAGAGTGTGACCTGTCCCCCTCTCCTGGCCCATGACGTGCTCTACTTTGTGGTGTTTGTGTACGTGCTTGTACACACTGTATCTTCTGTGTGAGGCTAGAGACTCCTCAGTGCCTAGCTGTGCTTTGTCCATGGTGGGTGTGCAGTAGATACTGCACACCTCGGTGGTTCATTCTGTGGTCACAAGCTTTCCGGTGTTTTCTCCTAGTACTCCACCCACCTGCACCTTGCTGAGGACTGCATGAAGCATTACCAAGGCACCGTAGATAAACTCTGCCGAGTGGAGCAGGTAAGACTTTTGCCTTCTCCTTCTGCCAGGCCCATTTACCCCGCTGAATGTTAACATCTGACCTTGAACATCCCGCAGAATCATAGAAATAGAAATGGGAAAGCCTGCTAGGATGTACTGTCTCAGACCTCTGGAGCCAGAGCAGTTCCACCATCTATGGTAGGGTCTAGACTGGTGTGAAATGCTGTGCCACTTGGATTTTGCATGCCTGACTCTTTTGGAAGGCTGTTTTCCCTGGAATGATTGGAGAAATGTGTGTGGGGTTCTGAGCCCTGTGTTAACAGGGCCGGCTGAATTTTATATCTTGAATGTGTTCTTTGCCTGGGCCAGCTTTGGAGACCAAGAGGCTGAGTGACGGTAGTACAGTGCAGGTCAGGAATTTGCCTGAAGCATCACTGATCATAATACGGGTTGTACGCTGAGAATTTGGGGCTTGAGTTCTGTCTCTGTCACTGATTATTTGTTGTGCCTGTTTCTGTGTGTTTTATTTTTATTTTTTTATTTTTTATTTTATTTATTTTTTGTTTTTTTGAGTTGGAGTCTCATTCTGTCGCCCAGACTGGAGTGCAGTGGCTGCTCCCGGCCACCACAGCCTCGACCTGCTGGGCTCCGGCGATCCTTCCGCCTCAGCCTTCCGAGTAGCCGGAACTACAGGCATGCGCTACCACGCCCGGCTGATTCCTTGATTTATTGTGGAGATGAGGGCTCGCCAAGTGGCCCAGGCAGGTCTCGAACCGCGGGCTCAGGCAATCTACTCCCTCGGCCTCCCAAAGCACGGGATTATAGGCTGAGCCACCGAGCCTGGCCCTCTGTGTGTTTTATTTCTTCATCGGCAAATCAGACGTTGTGCAGGAGGTGCCGTGTGGAGTTACTAAGCCTAGCCCCCCATTCTTCAAGTGTTACAACATTATTAAACTGTGGGTCAACATCTATGAGAAGAGAGGATGTTAAAAGATTCAAAAACTTCAGCTCAAAGTCTCTTTTCCCAGAAAAAAACAACTCAGGTTCTCAGTGTGCAGCTAAGATTTAAGTCCTCTGGCTTGATGGGACAGGCTCAGCTTAGGTTTGTAAGCCCTGGCCTACATTGTTGGACATTTTATAAGGGCAATTAGACTTGCTGATACCCATCAGTTTTACAGGGGACTATAGCAAACACGAGCTGTCCCTTCCATAAGAACTTGACCATCCATAAAATAGGTTATGCCTAGAACAGTAAAAATGCAGTTTGAGGTCAATTTTTAGAAGTTTAAAATTTTTTGCCAGGCTTGGTGGCTCAGCCTGCAATCCCACGCCTTTGGGAGGCTAAGGTGAGTGGATTGCCTGAGCCCGCAGGTTCGAGACCCGCCTGGGCAGCGAGACCTCATCTCTACAATAAATCAAAAAATCAGCCGGGCGTGGTAGCGCGCGCCTGTAATTCCGGCTACTCGGAAGGCTGAGGCGGAAGGATCGCCGGAGCCCAGCAGGTCGAGGCTGCGATGGCCGGAAGTGGCCACTGCACTCCAGTCTGGGCGACAGAGTGAGACTCCAACTCAAAAAAAAAAAAAAGGAAGTTTAAAATTTTTCAAAAGTGCTCAAAAGTATTTTTGAACTTATTACATTAGGTGGAATATAGAAAATATTAAGATCAGGTCCTCAGCCTGGGCAATGTAGGGAGACCTCGTCTCTCCAAAAACAAACAAACTATGGTCTCAGCCATTCAGGAGGCTGAGGTAGAGGGATCGCCTGAACCCAGGAGGTCAAGGCTTCAGTGAGCCATGGTTGTGTTGCTATACTCTAGCCTGGGTGACAATGTGAGACCTCCGACTCAAAAAAATTAATTCATTAATTAGATTTTTAAAAAAACCGTTCGTGCTGAGTCAACATCTGTTGAAGCCGGTGAGAGGGCCTGGTGAGCGGTGTCCTGCCTTCCTTGGGCCCAGACTGGAAGGAGACTCGAGGGCAGACTCTGCAGGGACTCCCGAGATCAGAAGAGGGAAAAAGAAGCGCCTTCAGGCAGCCCCTCAGAGCCACAGAGGATGTGGAGCTGTGGATCTCTGAGAGTGAGACCAAGTCCGTCTTGGCTTGCTGAGCCGGTGCTGCTTTCTCTGGATCTGAGCCTCGCCCAGTCACGAAGCGGGGCACTTCACCCTCTCATTTCCAGTTCTTTTTACCAACTGAAAAGCATGCCCTTCAGTGTCAGGGAAGCAGAGTAGAAAGAATCCTGCCGAGAGGCACCTTAAAGGCCAGAGCTTTCCATGGGAGAGAAGGGCATCCCTCGGAGTCCTGATTCCTCAACAGGGCCTCGTACCTCTAGGGACCCGCAAGAGTGAGTCCTTACCTGCGGAATCAGCAGAGGTACACTGGCACCCACCTGCCATGAGCAGCCTGCCTTCGAGCAAAGCAGCAGATCATTGCAGCCTGTGTTTTTGGCAAGTGCAGCTCAGGGGTGTCACCCACTCACTGATGCTGCAGGAGACAGGGCTGGCCACATCGGTGTAACTGCAGGGTGTGGTGAGACCAGACGAACCTGCGTCAGGCCTTCTTCGACTGCGCTGTCAGTCCCAGTCACTCTGGATCCTGAGTTTCCTCAGGGCGGCTGCCTCTCCAGACTGTCCCGGAGTCAGGGCCAACCAGGGTGTTTCCACAGGACCTGGCCATGGGCACCGATGCCGAGGGCGAGAAGATCAAAGACCCCATGCGGGCCATCGTCCCCATCCTGCTGGATGCCAATGTCAGCACCTATGACAAAATACGCATCATCCTCCTCTATATCTTTTTGAAGAACGGTAGGAATGCGAGGCCTGGAGGCGGGGCGGGGGCCCCTCCGGGGGAGAGGAGGCAGCCGAGAGCGAGGATGGGGTAGGGAGTCGTGTGACAGATGCACAGAGGGAAGGGGCAGAGGATCACGGGCTCTTGGTGTTTTGGGAGACACAGCCCAGTCAGCTGCAGCTGGAGGCGGAACGCCCCGGGGTCCTCGAGCCCATGGAAAGGGCAGGCCTGGGGAGAAGGGAAGTTTGGCCGACTCGTGAGAGCTACACCCCTCGAGGTTTTTAGCTGGCATTGCATGTGTACTCCTGCCTGTAAAGAACTGGTTTTTACCCACGTCACAGTGCCCAGAACTGTCCGCTGTTCCAAAGATGGGCAGCAAGACTCTTTGCCCAGTTTGACTTTGATACAGGACAGGGTGGGCAGGGACGCTGAGAAGCAGGGCCCGGGGGGAAGCACAGGTTGGGGGCGTTGCTGAGGTCATCGCTCCGGACAGAGTGCCCCAAGTACAGCTGAGATCCTTTAGTCGTTCTTGTCTGGCAGCAGTTGATGTGGTAGAGGAATCAGTTTGCACCACCCCAAGGAGGAGAAGGGACATGGCCCAGCCCCGAGTGGTCAGCTCTGCTTCTCAGGCTCCAGCACATGGAGACTGGGCATGGTGACTGGGTGTCTCACGCCCTCAGGCATCACCGAGGAGAACCTGAACAAGCTGATCCAGCACGCCCAGATCCCCCCGGAGGACAGTGAGATCATCACCAACATGGCTCACCTCGGCGTGCCAATCGTTACTGACGTAAGGGCCAGCTCTGTGCGGGGGAGGTGGGAGGGAAGCTGGTGAGTCCCATCTGCCTCTGGCTGATAGACACACACCCACAGAATCAGAGGGCTCAAGGTGCAAAGGTGTAAATGAGATCGATGCAAAGCCAGGAACCTAGACGTGCACCTCTGTGAGTCACACATATCATTAAGGCCGGGCCATGTCTATGAACCAAACCAAAATGGGGCCCCTGTGGCTTCCTGTCTCAAGGTCCATCTGGCCTGACCTTGACCTTAGACTCCGCACCTTCTGTGAGAATGAGAGTGTGCCACGTGGATTCAAGCACTTTTGCCTTTGAGGCTTTGGGTCGATTCAGAGCCAAGTCAGGCGGGCTGTCTGGGAGTCCCGGGCTGCGTGAGGTGTGAGGTGGGGGACAGGGCCTCTGGGACCCCCCAGGCCGCGCCGTGTGCAGCAGCCCCTGTGTGCCTGCGTCCATAGGCACCAGGAAGGCTGGATTTGCAGCTGTCCTCCCCGGGACCTCCAGGACAAGAGTTTGGCTCCACTGCCACAGACACAGACCCGTAACTGGCAGCGGGCTCGTGTTTTTAGACCGTTGTTCACAAGAGGGGTCAAATGAGAAGGGTGATGGTGCATTCAGCACAGCTTGTGCTGCTGAGATGAAACCCAAGAAGAAGCCGAACTTGAAGTCATATTTTCTCCTCTAATAGATAACACATCGTTTTTTTAACTGCTTGGGTTTTTTTTTAATGGCGCTTGTTACATGTTTGACCCTCATTTGTCACTGTGCATGATTCTAAAGAAAAGTTTGCTCCCAGTTCCTAGAGGGTCCCGTTTGAGGCTACTCAGGAAGCATCTCCCTCGTATGACCCCAAGGGAGTCCTCGAGAGGGCTTCCAGGAGCCAGCAGAGTCACCGGGGCCCACGCGGCTTCTGTCTCAGAGTCTGACCTGTGTGTGTCTGTATGCAGTCTACGCTGCGTCGCCGGAGCAAGCCAGAACGGAAGGAGCGCATCAGCGAGCAGACCTACCAGCTGTCCCGGTGGACCCCGATTATTAAGGACATCATGGAGGTCAGTGACGGGGGCGTGGGTGGGGGGTCCAGGGCCCCAGGCTCCTCCCTGACGGCCGGTGCCCCTAGCTTTGCTTGCTCCGAGGTGGCAGCGCCCTGTGGCCCTTGCCTGGAGGACCTGCCTCTGAGTCTCCAGACCTCCTCAGGCCTTCGTGGCGCACCATGTCCTGGGAAACTGCAGAGGCAGCACCCTAGATCCACTTGTCACTGTCACTCTCGGAGGACTTGGTCTCCTCTGCTGGAGACCCCCTGGGTGACACATCCGGGGCTGGCACCTCATGGCGTCTTGGAGGCCAGATGAGTGACATCATGGGCTCCATGCCAAGGGAGCTGGTGGTCGTAGCCCGCCTCCGCCAGGCACAGTCCTGCTGCCCCAGCCCCTTCTGCCGCTGCCTGCGCTGCGCCTGGCTGAAAACATAATGCTTTCTATAACTCCTCTTAAGAAGTAGGCCCGCCCAGATGTGTGGCTCAAGCCTGTAATCCCAGCACTTTGGGAGGCCAAGGCGAGGGGTTGCTTGAGTCCGCAAGTTCGAGACCCGCCTGGGCAACTTGGTAAGGACTCGTCTCTACAATAAATAAAAAATTAGCCGGGTGTGGTAGCGTGCACCTGTAGTTCCAGCTGCTGGGAAGACTGAAGCGGAAGGATCGTCTGAGCCCAGCAGGTCGAGGCTGGGGTGGCTGGGAGCGTGCCTCTGCACTCCAGCCTGGGCGATGGAGTGAGACTCCAACTCAAGAAAAAAAGCAGCAGACCCATAAGCGTATCTCAGTGTGACGGCCAATAGGGCGTCCAGTCGGTGCCCAGCCTGGGCTAGGCCCCCACCACAGGGAAGGGAGTGCTGGCATCACAAACCTGACCGTGACTTTTGCTGGCCATGTTGTTCTTTGAGTCATCTAGCCTTGGTGCCTGTCAGCCCCTTCCAGGCAGACGGCAGGTGACAGCTGTCTCTTGTCCCTGCAGGACACTATCGAGGACAAGCTTGACACGAAGCACTATCCTTACATCTCCACCCGTTCCTCCGCCTCTTTCAGTACCACGGCTGTCAGGTAAGTGAGCCCCTGAGCACACGGGAGGCAGACGCCGCGGTTGGCTGTCACTCCGCGGCAGGCCTGCTGTGAGGTGCTGCTGCGCCGCCAGAACACTCTGGCGCTGCTCCCCACAGCGGGAGCACAGGCCCGGCCCCGCCGCCGCCACAGCCCGCCCCCTCC